GGGGGGGGGGGGGGGCGACACGAGAGAGGCAGCTAGGGGTGCGCCCGACGAGGCCTGGTGTGGGGAGGGATGCTGGCGGGAGTTGGAGCTCCGTGGGACAGGCTGGGGACGGACCACTTCGGTGAACCCGTCGGCGAGCGGGCACGATGCCGCGAAGTCAATCTCGGGTGTTTGAGGATGGGGGAGAGGACGAGAATCGGAAGGCGCAGAAGAAGTGCTGCGTGTACAAGTACATCCGCGTGGGACAGAATCTCGGCGAGAGATTCCGTGGCAATCGCATGTTGAAGTGTGTTTTTTGCGGCAACGAGTTCCAGGGCAACCAGTTCGTGGCGGCGCGCCATTTCCGCCAAGGCAAGGGATGTCCGGAAGTGACAGACGAGGCACTTGTCGACATCCACTGTAACAGTGAGTACAAGATGTCCGACAAGTTCCTAGAGCGGATACAGCGATTTGAGGAGCTTCACGGTGCGGCGCCTGCGATGGATCCGCGACGAGACGAGGGGGGGGAGGGAGAGATGAGGGACGTGGGGGAGCAGATCGACATGGACGACGACGTCGAGGAGGTTGCACGGGCGGGGTCGTCAGGGAGGGAGCGAGGGAAGGGCATTGTCAGCGCACCGGGGGGGCAGCGGGGCCAGTACTTTGCGTCGGAGCACGTGTCGGCTCGTACACGGGCAGGTGCGGATACGGCTGAGGCGGGTGCGTYTGCGGGGAAGAGGAAGGAGAGAGAGGAGGGGGACAGACCGACGGCAGCAGCCACAACACAGAAGAGGATGAGACAGAACATGATCACGGAGTCATTCACTTCAAAGTGGCAGATGGAGTTCAAGAAGAAGTGGTTGCGGTTTATGTACAGTCAGCTCCTGGTGTTCAACGTCTTCCGAAGCGAGCCATGGTTGGACGTTGTCCGACACTTCAGGGACTTTTCGGGACAAGTGAAGGTGTTGTGGCCTTCAGAGAATGAGATCGCGGACATAGAGACCATTGTCCACACGGTGGACAATGTGGGAGCTGATCTCGCGGAGGTCAGGGCTCCTTTCTATGTCACGGGGGCCACCATTATGTCAGACGGAAGGAAGTCACGCGATGCTAGACCCGTCGTTAACTTCCTTGCCAGCGGGTCGCATGGGGTGATGCTCGTCCGGACGATGAACAGGGAGGGTGAGCGGGATCGGGCGCCTGATGTGTCGGCGCGCTGGATCAAGGTGTTCGAAGACTTCTCCCCTAAGTGGGTGAACGCCATCTGCACCGACTCCGCCTCGGCGTACGTCGCCGCGGCGAACATGCTCCAGGGGCCCCAGCAGAGGCCGGAGCATCGACGGATCACGTGGCTCCCATGCGCAGTGCATGTCTGCAACAAGATGTTGTCAGACATTGGCTGTTCGGGCCCGTGGTCCAAGGACATCATCGTGAGGGGGAGAGAGGTGGTGCGCTTCATTAAGGAGCACGGCGCCGCTCTCCATATCTTCCGGGGGGAGAGCAGTCAGATGGGCCTCATCTATCCTTGCAAGACACGTATCGCATCCGTGTTCGCGATGGTGGAGCGTTTGCTGGCAGTGAGGTCAGCTTTGGAGAGGACGGTGGATGGCGATACTTGGGGTATGGTCCCTTGGGACCATTCCGTTCGTCAGTTGGCTAGGTGGGTCAGGTGTCAGGTGCAACATGGCAGTTGGTGGGATTCCATGGGCATCTTGTTCCGTATCATGGAGCCTGTGTACGACCTGCTGCGCAGGTTGGACCGCAGAGGGCTGCACATGTCGCGGGTGGTTAAGTGGACACATGATCTGGCCCGCCAGGTAGCAGAGGAGGTTTGTGCACTTTCGGCAGATCTTGCACACTACATTGTGAAGAGGGTGCAGGCTCGATGCACTCACATGCTGGAGCCGGCGCACGCCGCTGCTCACCTTCTTTGTCCCAGCCGGCGGGACTTGAGGTACTTCGAGGGCGTGGTCAGCGACTACGACGCGAGCTTGGTGAGGGAGGCGGAGACTTACATCTTGTCGCATACAGGGTTCAGTGTGGAGAGCCGCGATTACGAGACCGCATGTACACAGTTGCGCGACTTCCACACACGGAGGGGGACGATTGCTTGGGGGGGGAGAGATGGAGATAGAGATGCACAGAGGTGCAGGGGGATGCGGAGACATACGAGTTCGGGTGTTGGTGGTCGAGGTACGGGCAGTGCGCCCCGCAGTTGCAGGTTATCGCTCTTCGTGTGATGTACATGTGGACGTGCTCCTCTCCTATGGAGAGGAATTGGGCCGTCCACGAGGGTGTACAGACGAAGAAGCGTAACCGGCTTGAGTTCGAGAAGGTCGCGAAGTTGGTTGAGATCTCAGCCAACGTCCGCCTTCTCTCTCATCAGCGGCCAGGCCACGGGTTCGCGCTGCCGTGGACTCTAGATGAGTCGTTGTTGGACGTGGAGGGAGGTATCGGGATTCGCCCCTCGTGGAAGGGGACGGCAAGAGCAGAACGCGGGAGGAGGTCGAGGATCAGAGACGTTCATGGCAGCGAGACCCATGTGGGTACAGAGCTCCTCCGGGTGATGTGGGCGATGTTTTTGGGATTCGAGCCGCCACATTGCACCCGTACCCTCGAGACGACAGTGATTCCGAGGGTCACGAGGACGCGGATGAGCCGGCGGGCCCCGCTAGCGCCACTCCTGCGGCGGATGAGCGTGATGAGTGGAGCGACCCAGAGGACGTCCGTTGACGGAGTGGCAGAGATGACCTTTTCGTTCGAGTTGATTTGGAGGAGGAGTCTGGGGGTCGTCATAGGAGCCCTTTGGAGCGTCCGAGGTCTCCGTTCAGTGCCCCGCTTCCCATTGAGCGGAAGACAAATCCTGGGTCTGCACCTTCGAGGGTGGCAGAGTCGCGGATTGGCCATCGTCCTCAGGGTCGCTCTGGCACGGCATCATCCTCCGCTGTTCCCACTTCGACGGAGCAGCTTCATCGACAACCACCCAGTGCAGATCAATTGCAGAGATTGGTGAGGGGCCCGAGACAGTGATTGGAGGACAGATTGGAGGGCGGGCCTATGTCGGTGCAGGGTGACGACTGAGACAAGCAAGGGTTGGTTGGTGGAGATGGTGGTGCGCTGGCCGGAGGTGGAGGCGGTGCCGAGGTTGATGTGGTGGTTGAGGGGATACCGATGGGCGGCGGTGGCGGTTTCAGTGAGTTTGGCGATATGGGTATATGCCCCCGGGAGAGAGCATGGGTCTGGGCCAAGGGGAGAGCGAGTCCCGTGGGGACATCAGTGTGGGTATGCAGGACTTACTGGGACAGATCGGCTTCGCGGACCCGAGTAGTTTCTCCCCTGCCATGCGCACAGAGGTGATGTTGGGGGCAGAGGGGGATGAGGACAAGACACCCCTTGGAGAGACATCTGCAGAGAGGCTGGATAGGCTTGATAGTCGTCGAGCGTGCCTCATGGCACAGAGGGACCCCAGGACGCAGGAGCTCGCCCGTCTTGCGGACGAGGACCGACAGAGGCAGCTGGGGACATATACGCTGGCGTCTGTTGACGTGGGGCCAGATGCCCACACGGATACTCCGGCAGAGGTTCATGACACGACGCAGCGGGAGGCGGCTTCGGCAAAGGTTTCGAGTACCGGAGTAGATGTTCAGCAGGGGATGCACGAGAGCGGGTTCGCACTGACAGAGGAGCCACGTTCGGAACCGGCGCAGCCTTCTGCCGTGCAGCTGAGGCCAGAGGAGACATTGCAAGAGGTCGTGGGCGTGCCTCTGCCCGCGGGTTCAGTTGAGGGCGCCGTGCATATGTCCCCGGGGCTGGAGGACATACAGACGGGGCAGTCAGTGGGCGTTGATGATATTCGCCCATCGGCACAGGCGGAGGGGATAGCGCCGACCACCGGGGGGGACGGGGCCGTAGCGGGGGCCGTTGGTGTTGGCGGGTCGGGGGTGCCGTCCGCGGCCGATTCGATGTCCGCGTCCGGCGGGGGAGACCCCACACAGGTGGACAGGCGTGATGCGGACGGACAGGAGATGCCACAGACTTTGGTGGTTCGCACTACTGTGGGGCCAGTGGTGCCACACCAGGCACTGTTTTGGAGGGTTATAGGCGTCCTGCACATGGCGGTGGCCCGGTCGAGGAGCGACGTGTAGGCAGGGACGCGTGCATACCCCCGGTCCCTACTTTTGCGCCGTCACGGACGAGGCCGGAGATAAGGCATGTGGCTACGCCTCGAGGCAGCCTCCCTTTTGAGATTGACCAGCGCATTTTGAGGTCAATCCCGGAGGAGGGGAAGCTGCCTCACGTGCAGGACTTATCTTGGGGGCCAGCCAGCCCCAGCTTACCTTCTGGGTGTTCCATCGCACTGCCATCTGGCGAGGGTGCCGAGGGCTTACCTTCTGGAGGTTCCGTTGCAGCGGCATCGGGCGGAGCCGCAGGGGACTTACCTTCTGGAGGTTCGGTCGCAGCGCCATCTGGAGGCGCCGCAGGCCCTTCGTCACCCTTGAGCGCAGCTCCGAGGGAGGGCGGCAGCCTCACCCCAAGGTCGGTCGCCCGTAGACGGAGAGACACTACCCAGCGTGCGCAGGAGTTGCTGGACACCATGTTGTCCGATCGCACAGACCGACCATGGAGTGAGACGAGACGGGTGACGACAGCGAGTGCCGGTCGCCAGCCAGGTTTGAGAGGGGTTTCCACGAGCGCGAGACGTCGAGATGTTGTAGCTGCAGGGTTTGGCGGTAGAGGGGGTGGCGGCGGTGGCAGTGGTGGCGACGGTGACGGCAGACGTGAGGCCGCAGAAGGTGCCACGACGAGCGCAGTGGATCCGCCGCGAACGTACGGTTTGAGAGAGGCGTCGATTATTTTGGAGGAGCCTGATGTTGTTACACGACTGAGGCAGGCCCGACACGTGCCCTTAGATCGACGCCAGGAGGGGGAGACTTCAAGGACTGACGGTCTACCTATGGCACGCGAGTCACGCCGACGTGATGACCTAGCAGCAACAGCCATGAGGACAGTGAGAGGCAGGAGAGTCATTATGGACGACGATCCCGACGAGCTTCCCGTCGCTCCCGAGCCTTCCGCTGGCGGACGCGGCGGCCAGCGTCAGAGAGATCGAGGAGGTGGCAGGGGTCGGGCTCACGGAGGAGTTTCTCATTGGTCCGAGCGAGATCCGCGTGCGCACGACGATCGTTGACGGATTACGAACTTGCATTTTCGTGACTTCCTCATTGTACTTTAGTTTTTTGTTATCCATGACAGACGTACTGTCTCGTGAGGTTGTATTATAGTATACTTTCCACTGGGTACTTTTATGCGCAGACATATTGTTTCGTGATGTTGTATTATAGTGTACTCTCCAGTACGCACTTTTCTACAGTTTGCTACTTCAGAGATTGTTGGTTTCCAGTGTATTTTAGTGTGCTTTTTCGTCAGCATTTTCGGGTTGGTACTTCTTTCCACAGATTGGCGGGGCTTCGACACGATGTGTCAGATTTTTGCTATTATCCATGCTATATTGGTTTGCGTTTTGCTTCGATCATTACATCTTGGCATTTGCGATGTTTCTGTTTTCAGACGACGAGTGTTTTTTTTGCTTTCAGGCCCCTCACAACCCAAACCCTCCCGTAGCCCCCCCTGGCCCCCCGGCCCCACCCATGCGCCCGAACCCCCCAAACCACCTTTTTTTTTTTCCCTTGCAACCCTTTTTAAAAAAATTCTCTAGCCGCTTGTTTTGCGCTATTAAAAAATAAAAAAATAAAAAATAAAATTTGGAAAATAAATAAAAGAAAGGTCGCAGTTTGTATGTGTGTGTGTGTGTGTGAATGTGATTATGTGTGTGTGTATTTATTTGTGTAAATGGGTGGATCAGTTTGGGGGGTTGTGCGTGTTGGCGAAAAAAAAAGTGCCCGTGTGTGTGCGACGGTGTTCGCAGCCCTTAGGCTGCGGTATAGTGGGCTTCGGCGTCTGTGTCAAGATGTCGCATTTTCGGCGGCGGGCGACCAGGTCGCAAGTGGGTTTTTTGGGGGCAAAAAAAATTGGGGGACCGGTCCTTGGCAAAATTGCGGACCACCTACAGCTAGCTCTGGTAGAACCGAGACTTTTGGAAAAATGAAGGACCGGTCCTCGAGTGGAAGTGGACCCCAAAAAGAAGTGGGGGGCATTGGGCCGGTCCCCGGGTAGAAGCGGACCCCAAAAAGAAGTGAGGGCATGTGAACTGCAAAAGGGCCCTCAGGCCCAGGCGTTGAGCCCCGTCTTCTCAGGCACAACGAAACAGGTGTTTTGCAAGAGGCAACTTTGGCGATTTTCTGTGCTCGGACGAACACGATCAAAAATCTGAAATTTTGAGAATCCATAGATGAGGTCGTGTTCTTTCTAGAAATAATAATAGAACATTTACAAAAAATCATTTAGAATGCGAAATAATTGTCGCGCCGATTCAGCACATTTTCCATTTTTGTCACTCAGCCATGCCTGGGCCAACTAGAAAAGTACTCCAAATTCAGTGAGTTTTCGCGCTCAAAAGAATGCGTGAAAAAACCTGAAAATTGGAGTACTCGTAAATTTTGTTGTGATCTTTCCAGGACAAACGCTACATAAATTTWAAAAAATCATTCCAACTGCGAAATAGATTGCGGCCGCAATTTGACCCATATTTCAATTTTGYMATTCAMCCTCYCTCTCTCTCTCTCTCTCTCTCTCTCTCTCTCTCTCTCTCTCTCTCTCTCTCTCTCTCTCAGGACGTTGCGTCACTTCAGAAGTGCGGGTTTTGAGAGAACCAAGACCTTGACGATTATCGGAACTTTTCATCGAATGGTAGCTAACACATACGAGATGGCGGATCTACCGCCCGTGATTGACCTGTTCGGACGGGAACTCCGACTCATGGATTACCCACGGAGGATAACCCGCGCCGCGATACTTGAGTTCATCCGAAACTGCAGGGACGCGGACGTCCGAAATAAATTTCAGGAGTAAAGAAGCACCAAATCGACGGATATAAAACTGAAAGTCCGGAATAAAATACGTCAAGAAATTCACACGACTCGGAATATAAAGCTAAAATCACAAATCGAAAAATCAAAAATCAAAAATCAAAAATATAATTTTGCACGGAATGAAAATAAATTTTCAGGGACGAAAAAGAAACATACACGACTAAGTACTCCAGAATATCACGAAATTTCTGCAGATATAATGACGTAACAATGTCGCTCACATTTCCAAACATACGAAACAGATAGAAGATGAAAGACCTAAAGCAGTGGAAATGAACCAATAACTTGAAAGAAAAAGTACTCACCTGGAAATTAAGGAAAATCCACGGTCATGAAAGTAAACAAGAACAGAACAACAAACAATGTCAGATTCGAGTCAGTATAAAAAAACAGCGGAGTTATAGGCAAGTACCATAGTAAGACGGAACTCCGACAGAGAGGAGAGTACGTGAGTAGCATGCACAGAATCATTAAATATGATGAAAGTAGCTCCAGATTGAAGGCATGTTGGAAATCGACGACGACAAGGACAACACAGAGAGCGACTACGGGAGATCCTGAGGATAGATGATGAGTACACTGCAAGGATAGGGAAAGTGGCGGAGAAGGACTGGGAACGAAGGGTATAAATACTGAGGATAGTGGCTGAAATGATTACCTGAGCAGTGAGGTAGAAGGGTAATCGTGACTGGTGTCGCATGCCATGGACATAGCGTGTATGTTGTGAAAGTAAAACCTCGCACGTTCTGTTGACATTTGCATGTGTATGCTGTGAAAGTAAAACCTCGAACGTTCTATCTACATTTGCATGTGTTTATCTCTATGCACGGTGCTTAGAACTTGCGGGCGGTACCCGCGATGATTGGCACTGTATAGACCTGTCACTCTTCCATTTTACATTCACTATCTTTATCTCTCTCTCATCATTCGTAACTCTTTTCTTTCATGATATCATAGTGGCGATTTGTTGGAGATTACTATAGCGTGGAGATTACTCAGCGATTTTTCGAGATTTTATTTTACTTATCTGGTGTGTACTGAAGACGATCAACGGCGTTGTGGGGTTTTGTATCGATTTCAAGTACGAAGACTACCTACCTGACGTTCCCAAGCTTCAAGGAAGATGTCCCGTTCGCGATCATCGTCGGACAGGAGGCGTCGCAGACACTCATCATCATCTTCCGGATCTCAAGGGAGGAAGCGCTCAAGAAGGGGGAGATCAAAAACTCCGAGAGATAGAAGACATAAGTCAAGATGACCATCGTCACAGACAAGAAGGGCGGAGTCAAAATCTCCAAGGTGGTTATGGAGACCATTGTGGGAGCAAAGACGGAATGATTTCCCCCCACCGGGAAATCGAGCGTGGTTTACGGCGGATCTAAAGGAAGAAATCTTTAAGCTCCGCTGGGAGATGGACAAAGTTCTCAAGACACTGGAGCAACTCACACGAAAGACAAGTGAAAAGCAGCTGGCTCCTCCGAACAAGGAAGACATTGCAAAGAAGTCTGAGCTAACTCCGGACGCGCTCAAGTCCATCATTGATGAAGCACTGAAGCCGACAGAGATGAACCAAGGGGGACAAAATCAAGTTGGTCCAAGCGCAACCGGTCAGAAAAATGCAAAGGCGGAAGATAAAGTAGAAAGGATGGTGTCGGAAGTGCAGAAGGAGGTCAACAACCTAAAACTACTAAAGTATGATCTGGCGGTTGTGAAGGGTGCGTTGCAGAAGATCAATGAACCGACTCGTACCTGCACTCTGATCGTATCGTCTTCGATTCATCCGAACGGATAAGTGGGGACAATGGCTGGATTACCAACTTCAGTACATGGTAGCCGCAACATTCCGAGTCGAAGTATGCCAAGCAGAAGCGCACCGAACAAAAGCAGATTGGGACGCGTAATCCCTCCACACCCAAGAGAGGACGAACGAAGATTAATCGCAACGTGTCGGCAGCGAAGTCAAAGGCAAAACGGAGCATTAATTTTGGGGTCGAACCGATGACGGACATGCAGCTCCTTCGTCTTCACTACATGGACCTAAAGGTCTTATGCAAGATGCATGACATCAAGTACAAGGACAAGCCACAAGCGATCTCGGCATTGGGGCAAGTTCCTGGATTGATCGCCTACAAGGGGCGGGACTTCAACCGGGATTCTGATCTTGAAACACAGATCATGCCAGATCCAGATAACATCAGAGTGTCCAATACAACTGGCGGCGACACAAGTGAGGATGATTACGAGAGCCTTAGTACAAGATCAAGCGGGAGTGATGAGTATGACTCATCCGACACATCTTCGAGTGCCGAAGATCTGTCGGGAAGGTAGAAGACACCTCAACATCAGGCGACCTCACCACAACACAGAAGTGGGAGTAGATACACAGGCTATCAACGGAAATTGAGCAACAAGCTAGTACAGGGAGTTTCACCTTGGTGTAGACATATGTACGTGGGGAGGACAGGAAGACAGCCCGACAAGAGATGGAGTGAACATATAAACTTGGCCAAGAATCCAAATAGAGGAGCACAACGGAAACTATACAGTTGGCTGCACAAATTTGGTTGGGAGAAATATGTTCTCATATCCATTTGGGCGGGAGTGAGATCAGAGGTGATAGGGATGGAAGCAGCACTGATTAGGAGACTGAATCCATTCTTGAATACAAGGGGAAAAGACAGACAGACTCGGAAAAACCGAAGACGAAGAAGGAGAAAGAGGAAGAAGAATGGAAACAATGAGGTGAATCATAATATACCTGTTTTGTTTAAATTGGTTCGATCGGGTTACACTACGAAGTTAACATCAATACTTCAACCGAACGCAATGATTTACTGCACAGCTGGAGAACTATGAAATGAAAAATGTAAAGTAATTAAACGAACATTCGGATCAACAATTGTGGAAATTAACAGCACAAAGTTCCAGCTAAAAAAATGCAGAAAACGGATCGAAAATGGATGTATCTTCTATGTGATCCAACTGGTGCATACGAGACCGAAAACAAACAAACATAGAAATATTCTGATTAACTGCTTGAGGGCACCATGGAGACGGAGGGAACTGTATAAATTATCGTTCACTCATAACAATAAATGGAACAAAACTCTCTCTCTCTCTCTCTCTCTCTCTCTCTCTCTCTCTCTCTCTCTCTCTCTCTCTCTCTCTCTCTCTC